TCTCCTTTTAATTAGAGTGTTTTTGGGTAGCCGGCCTTCGGCCGGGGATTTAAGACTTTCTCCTATGAACAGGTGCCAACACCGGCTACGCGCAGAATCTCCTTTTAATTAGAATAGTGTTTGTGGGTAGCCGGCCTTTGGCCGGGGATTTAAGACTTTCTCCTATGGACAGATGCCAACACCGGCTACGCGACACTATATCTTTTTAATTAGAATAGTTTTTGTGGGTAGACGGCATTTAGCCGGGAATTTAAAAATTTCTCCTATGGACAGATGGCAACACCAGCTACGCGACAGAATGTATTTAAGCTTTAAAATGATACCCATATTGCCTTGACCAATATTACACAATAAGAGAGTGAGACCTATATATCTCAGAAAGTATGGACTTATTTAATATGAATATTAATTTTTTGTAATCAGGGCTTCAAATGCTTTAACATGATACCTATATTGCCTTAGTGAATTTTTAAAAAAAAAGACGTGAAAATACAAGGGTCCCAACGGAACTTTGGAGGCCCATATCTCCGGAAATACCGATTTACGCAAAGAAAAAAAGTATACTGCTGTAATCAAGGCCCCAAGGACTACATGTGTGTTGTTTGGAATCTGTTATGTTAGGTGTTTGCATTAAATTTCATTATGTAGAATTTTTTTTACTGTTATGTATTTTTAATTTATTTAGTTTATTCTTTGTTTGGATTTTTATTTTTTTTAATAAGTTAATATAAGTTATTGGTCATGCTGGCTTTTTTATATTACATTGTATAAAATAAATAAAATGAAATTTCAAAACGATCTGGGAGGGGGCCCTAAACTAGACTTAAGCCAAAAATGTAGTGTTTTAAAAGACTATGACTGGTGTTACTTATAGCAAAAACTTCGAAACGTACGCGTCCGTCTTTAAGTTTGTCAAATTCCAACATTTTAAGGAAACTTAGAATGAGCGACGATGTATGAATGAAATATTAGGATTTATACAATGTGGTAGTTTTAAGTTTTCTTACTTTGAAATATATTTATATTACGTGTTTATTCAGAAACCAATCTCCGAATTTTCCATTATTATTGTAACGACACTTCGACACGTGGATTGAATTATCATTCCTGGTACGAATGACACGGGGTTTTTATGTTTTACCTCGTCAAAATTGTTTGCCAAACGTTTTCAACATCACATAGTTCTTTCATCAATCGCATTGTTTGCGAATTGCCTGTATACACTTGTCGTTTTCATGGCTGTAAGAAAGGACTTTTTGTATAGTATGGAAAACATTTTTATAACTCCAAATTCTGCTGATCTCTTTTCAATTTAATGTTTTAATTGTATTAAGTTAGATTTTGTTTTTATGCATATATTTTAAGTTATTATTTTTGTTTTGCTGTATGTAGTGCAAACATAAATTGAAATTGTATCATTTAATTTAGCTTTTTGTGGCCGATGGCATTGAGTTAATGTAAAGTTGTTTCTAAAATACAAATGCCGAGTTAACTCAATGAAGACGATTCGTTGATAACTTTATTATTAAAAAAAATGTTTGTAAATAAGTTATTACGAATAGCTTCGAAACTATAGCCTGCTCGACCCACCTTGGACAAAAGAGTGAAATATTAAAAAAAAAAATAACTTATGATATTTAATTGAAATGTTATGTAAATATAAATATAATGATATCGTCCGTTTAACTTCTTCAATTATTTATATATATTTTTACATACATACATATTTTTTGACATCTAATAGTTTGGGGGAGCATGAAGAACACATGCAAATGTCGATTTCGTATCTTTAGAATTCAAAAACTCTCGACTTAGGCATTTATTTTATTAATCAAGAAAATAAGGATTAAAAGAACTCAGCATGAATTGAGTTAGTGGGACTTGATGTCGACTAGCATATTTCTTTAGATTTCCAAGAATACAGATGAAATGATCCTTTACTTTAGTCGGCATTATTTTGAATTAATTTGCTAACACAGGATTTTATTACTCGGGGTCTACAAATGCCACTTTGCTGCTACTTTTTATCATTATAATTTTGAACTTCTCTATACTTTCCATTTGTCTAAACTCTTTTTCATAAAAACTCCGCAAACTTGTTTAAAAAGGTAGCTTGGGTAACCCCCATATTCGTAATCTGATCAAAATTGGAATGATCCAATAGTCGGCATTAGAATGTCGATTTAAAATAAATGTATTGTTCTTATTGATAAATACACTTTTTCCAAATTGATCCCTTTAATTTAACTGATATCTATTTTCTATTTTGTATCTAAATCACTTAATTAAACATGAATTGGTACGATTGTTTATCTAATTGCCTTTGCTTCCAAACAAGTAAAATGCTTTAAAAATGAAAATTTCAGTACTAAATGAATTACCTATTACTACTCAAATATCCTTACCACGACATTTAACATTTGAGTATAAAACACAACATAAAGAGTCCTTACCACTTATTGTCATAAAATTCTTGGCATTTTGACAGATACATACGGAATATTTTGTCTGGACATTATTGGAATTATAAAAAATGACTCTTTGTAAAACGATTCTAATTTCTAAACTCTTTCAGTTCCACTTTTCCTAGTATTGCTGTATTATTTACCATAGTATTTTCAATATTTTAGTCAAACATTTTCAACATTCAATAAAAAATATTGAGGTTAAGACAATATCATAGTTACTCTCAAAACTTTAAATTCTGTAATCAAGATTTAATGAAGTGCTCACATTATGACTGATTAAAATTGAATATATAACACAGTAGTTTTGTAAAAATTTTAGGGTTTCTCACTAAAACAACTACCAAACTTTTCTCAATTACTTTACAAATGATTGAGTTGACAATTATACCTATTGTCTGTTTCTTTTCGAGCTACTGCATCGATTTCATCTTCCCATTTTTTGAACATTACTTTTGAATGTCGTCTGAAATAAAACCAAACATATATCACCCAATTGTAGTACAAACGGGCGATGAATTTTGAGATATTTTATATAGATTTTGGTTTGGGTGTTCGGATTGGCATAAGGATTATTCTTTGAAAATTTGTATAGTGTATAAAAGCATTGAACTTGTTACCAATTGAACAAAATTTAAATTTGTTGTGTTGTGTGATTTGGTCGGTGAAGACAATTTCTAACTGGTAAAGAATTTGCAACATCGAGCATAGAGTTAAAAAACTTGTAATTTGTTAGGTAAGTGTTGGTTTATATGTGCTTCTTCCAACTAGGACTGGTTTCAAAATTACTACCTGCTGGTTTGTAATATAATAGGAATAGAGTGCATGATGCTATTTTTCGAGTTAATCTTAATTCTCGACGAGCTTATATTTAGGAGTGGTCTCATAATTTGCTCTTTTTTCGATAATAAACAAATATGGCTTAAATAACATAGTCCATGATATCAATATTCTAAATATGAATTTCTAAATATCAGTTTCATTCTCTTCATAAGATCAAGAAGCAGTTGACTATATAACAGAAAGACTTTTTGTGTACTGCTTGAAATGGAAACAAATCAAATACAACATACTGGAAAAACATATTTTGTTTATATTTTGCAACATAAAATCAACAGCATAAACCGAGTGGTCAAAATGGAAAATGTGATTGATTGTCGTTTGAATTATCAAGACTAAATACACTTCACTATCACTTTGGATAAATTTCACCTATTTACGCGAAATAAATTCTTTTTCATCACTAGCAGCACCGCCAACATGAAACGTTCTAACGTTGTAAAAACAACATAAAGAATTCACAGACAAACGCAGACAAGCATACACATTGGCGGTCTTTCGTCTAGACGGAGAAAATTCTTTTCATTTATATGTTTGTAGTACATGTATATATATATATATATATATTTATTTATATGGTTATTTATACATATACATGTGTATGTTTTATTATATATTGTAGCGCTTTGTTTTTGCTTTCTTCGCTTTATATGTTTATTTAAGTTTTCTAAATTTTATTTTTGTCGCGTGTGATGTATTTGCACTTCTTCTTGACATCTTGCATTTTCTTCACTTGTATTTGATACATAGCTCGACGGTAGCATTCACAAATGTACATTTCGTCAAATTATCGCTAAATAACAATAGTTTGGTTGTTTTGAAATTTGGACACACCATGCATGTTTGACGGATTCCAGTTGATGTGATCAGCTGTTGCATTCCGGAGATGTCATATCTTTGTATATTTGATGGGTTTATGTTATCAGCTGACAACGAAGGTACTTTTCGTATGCGACTATTTTGATCAATAATTTTTTTCTGAAGCAATACGTGTTAAAAACGAAAGCTATTATGTGGGTCACTCTTATTATTGGGTGTCATAGAATTTGTATGTCAAATGCAATGACTATATGTAGACCCCATTATCTTATTTGTTTAAATATAATCTGCATACACATATACATTTACACATATATGGGGAAAAAATTCGCTTATCCAATAAAAAGACTAATAATACCCTTGTAAATCGAAGCTATAGTAAGAATAATCTGTTAATAAAAATATGTTTTCTTACAATTTGTTAATCCTGCTTTAGAAATAAACTAAATAAAAACATGATTTATGAACACATTTATTTATATGTCAGTTATCGTAGCTTTAGCTTGGTCTATTCTCAATGATTTTTAAAAAATGCTAATTTTGGTAAAACCTTGGATTTTCTAAAATTAGCATCATATTTCTGTAGAAAATTTAAAAATGTCAATAATTTCATTTAAAAAATGATATTTTATTCTTTACCTTTTCCCAATAATCCAAACAAAATTATAAATTATTTTGAGCAGACGATCTCAATATTCACCTATGGGAATAACTCTTTTGCCAAATGGTTTTATATTGACGTTTCTGACGTAAATTTTATATGTCGAAAAAGTATGTTATTTAGGTCACCATTTTTGCCACCAATGTATGGTATAGATGGACTCTTTTCTACACTTTCTAGCAAACAACGAATTAAAAATGATGATAGATGCAATCATGCTCTTGGTTTTTTATATGGAGTTTGGTGGTAGAAGAATTTAGTTAATATTTTTGTTTTCTTGTTTTTAGCTGTTCTTTATCGTCGGATTCAATTGGTGAGAGGTACAATAGTCCCTCATCGTCAACGAAGTAAATTTGTACAGCTTCATCACGAATTACTTACCGTTTGCAACATCGAGGAGGTCGACAGTGGTAGCAAAAGCCGGCGGTAACAAGGGCACAGCACCGGCAATTGCCACAGGATCTACCTCAACGGGATTGCTGGGCTCGAATTTTGTCCAAACGCTGAGCAGTTCTTTTGTTGGTTCTAATCAAAATAGCAGAAGTAGTAGCCGTGAATCGTTGGACAAGCAATTTCAACAAAATTGTTCCATCAAGTCATCTAATAATCCCCAACAAACACTTGCAAAAGTAGTCATGTCGGAAATCGGCTCGATTCCAATTGCAAACGAAGCCGGCGGTACACACTCGAATGCAACAATAGTCAAAGAGGGGTGGTTACAAAAACGCGGAGAACATATAAAAACATGGCGCTCCCGCTATTTCATACTACGATCGGATGGAACTCTTCACGGTTGGCGCAACAAACCGAACGAGAATGCACCGCCCGAAAGACCCTTAAACGATTTCACCATTAAGGGCTGTCAGATCATGACCGTTGATCGTCCCCGACCATACACGTTTATAATACGTGGTCTACAGTGGACTTCTGTCGTAGAGCGTACGTTTTCCGTTGATACTGAACGAGAGAGACAGGAGTGGACAGACGCCATCAGGTAAATGGACAGACAGACAAAATACATTTGAAATTAAATTATATTGAATTGCTGAAAAGGAACGTTGTTTTATTGTATTTACAGGACTGTGGCCAGCAGCTTGAGTGAACTAGGCGAAACCGCCATGAGCACCACAAATAGCACAGATATGACAGATGTCGATATGGCTTCCCTGGCAGAGGATGAGTTGTGTGAAAAATTCTCAGTTCAAGGTACATCCACACGTAGCAGTGGTGGAGTTAAAAAGGTGGTACGTATTGACGCATAGAAACATTGTCCACATAGATTGGTTTAATACCTTGACTTTACGTCCTTTCAGACTCTGGAGAACTTTGAATTTTTGAAAGTGTTGGGTAAGGGCACATACGGCAAAGTGATTTTGTGCCGTGAAAAGGCAACTGCCAAATTGTATGCCATTAAGATCTTAAAGAAAGAAGTGATCATCCAGAAAGACGAAGTCGCTCACACAATTACAGAAAGTCGAGTTCTTCAAACAACAAATCACCCATTCTTAATAGTAAGTATTCCTGTCGAATTTTCAACTGAACTGAATACGATATATTGTCGATTCATTCCATTTGCAGTCCCTCAAATATTCCTTCCAAACGAACGATCGTCTTTGCTTTGTAATGCAGTACGTAAATGGCGGTGAGCTGTTCTTTCATTTGAGTCGCAAACGTGTCTTCAGTGAGGAGCGTACTCGCTTCTATGGGGCCGAAATTATATCAGCCCTAGGATATTTGCATTCACAGAGCATTATATATCGTGATTTGAAGTTGGAAAATCTGTTGTTGGACAAAGATGGTCACATTAAAATTGCCGATTTCGGGCTTTGTAAGGAGGATATAACCTATGGTCGCACTACAAGAACATTCTGTGGCACGCCGGAATATTTGGCGCCAGAAGTATTAGAAGACAACGATTACGGACGTGCTGTGGATTGGTGGGGTACGGGTGTTGTTATGTATGAAATGGTAAGCACTGAAATTTGATAACGTCTGGTGCCAAATCGCATTATAAAATTCAATTTGTAGATGTGTGGACGTCTTCCATTCTATAATCGCGATCATGATGTTCTTTTCACACTCATTCTTGTGGAAGAAGTGAAATTTCCACGTACAATTTCCGATGAAGCCAAAAGTCTGCTGGCCGGTCTTTTGGCAAAAGACCCCAAAAAACGTTTGGGTGGCGGTCCAGGCGATGTCAAAGAAATCGAAGTGCATCCGTTCTTCGATAGTATTAACTGGACAGATTTGGTGCAAAAGAAGGTAAGTTCTAACACAAATAATGGTATATTTATGGATTTGTTTGTTCGAATTATTCCATAATAATGAAACCATTTGCACTCAATTAAATTTAAAAATGTACCTGGTATCGTTGCACTTGTTTCGTAGATTGAACCTCCTTTCAAACCGCAAGTAACATCGGACACAGATACACGCTACTTTGATACAGAGTTTACCGGCGAGAGTGTCGAATTGACGCCTCCAGATCCTGCAGGCCCTTTGGGTTCCATAGCCGAAGAACCTCATTTCCCTCAGGTAGGTTTTTGACATATGTCCATGTTTTCTGTGATTTAAACGCTATTATTTTTCTTTCCGTTTCTCCAACAGTTCAGTTATCAAGATATGGCGTCTACCTTAGGTACTTCATCACACATTAGCAATTCATTGGCATCGATGCAATAGAAAAGAGTGCAAAGCATTTGTTTATAACATTACACATATTGCCTATGCCAGCAACAACAATATAAGCCGTGTTCACGTTTATTATATCGCGAAATATTACTATCGTTCACCTATATGTTCGTCGAAAGCGTATGCGCGATCTTATCCTAATAAACACTAATGACAAAACAAGCAAATAGAAAACGCAAGAGTAAAACATAACACAAACAGGACACACTATAAATAGCCACTACTACCACAGTCAATAACACCCTTGACAAGAATATACCGAGTGTAATATCGAGGGAAGCAATCAAGCGCTGCTTCCCACCTAAGCTAACTGTTGCATATTATACTGTTCTTTCCTCCCCAAAATAACATAGATATTAATGTGTATAAGTTTTCATATAGATATAACCTTGTCTCATTCGAGAATGCATGTTTCCGAAAAACACATCTAATTTACACTGTTTAATTGGAGTCTTTTTTATATTCGGCAACTCGATATCTTCAATTCGAAATATACGCAATTAATAAGTTGAAGTCCAAATGCCAACACTCAAATAGGAGCATCAGCACTATGGAACGATTCTTATTTAATATGTTAATTTAGACACAGAACAACATCTTAACCAAATCCTTACTCTGTTACAACTCAATTACTGCGGATTAATGGGTTGGGGAAAATGTATGATAAGCATTTCGGGTATAAAACACAAAATGCTGGCAAATGCGTGATTGCGGATTAACATTGCCTTGTGGTAAACTATTGAGACTAAATGTTTTGCTTTCGATCCGAATAAAAAATCCGACTAAGTTAACAACGAATATCAGTTCCACAAAAAATATACATTAAACTGTTATATTAACAGTTTGCAAGTTATCATTTATTTCAATTCTACACACATGCGCACCATAGAACAGAACCTTACAAGACCGTTGCACACACATATAGACGTAAAAAGTAGAAGTAAGCTTGGTTTATTACAAGTGACCACAAAAAAGACTCAATATATCGAAAGCAAAACTTATGTTACACGCAATTCACATCAACTTATCACCAGCATCAACAGCCTACTATTCTACTCATATGTGGGACAGCGTTGTGTAGTGGCAGATACATATACATACTAACTGGCGGACTAACACAGACGGACAGACAAACAGACAGAGCGACCGACCGACATACCGACCGAATGACGTGTGATGTTTTCTTCTTTAATAATATTCATATTCATAAATCGTAATTGAATAACAACCTAAAATAGAATTTAATTTTGTAAACACATTTGTAGGGTCTTTATAGCGAAAATGTATCTATAACAAAACATTGAAATAGTTTAATAACAAATAATAGATAAAATACTTTTTTTAAACCTAAACCTAAAACGAAAAGAAAACGCCAACCAGTACTACAAACAAAACACCATTTGTCGTCGCCGACCTTATAAATCCCTATCCTATTACACATTAAGTTTAATCATGTCTCTGATAACAAAGAAAATAATTAATTTCGTTGTGCCCAATATCCACTATCCAGTCCCCCATCCCACTTCACTTCCAAAAGTTTATGTTGAAATAATAAAGATTCGAGAAAAATACACTAACAGAACATGTGTGAACATTTTTTTCTTATTGAGTATTCATTCATTTTAATTATAAAGTTTTCTTTTTTAAAATCTGTACCAATAGAACGGAAAATAAAAAATCCAATCGTTTACACATGATGAGGACAGAATATCTATCTACCACACAGCATAAAATCGTATTTCGAAACTTAACTTGATTGATATAACTTTTTGAGAAATAAGCAGAAATATGTATTTATTAAATAAATAATAAAATCCGTAATAATATTAATATTAAAAAACACAAATATATATGTAGATAACCATTTATCTATGTAATAATTTATACATATACTTTATATACATGCATACTATATAAGACAAAAACAAATAAAAACGAACAATAAAAACTCAAAATTAAAAATGTTTTGTTTTACTTTTTGTGACTTGTAGAACCCAAATACCTCTCAGTACAATTGTAGCAATTATTTAAATTTTCAAGTATCAGCAACATCGGATATACTATTTTATTAGGGATCCGCGTTCATTCGAAATGTGATCATGTTAGATTTTCGTAAGCACTTGTTGTAATAGTTCAGAAATGCCAAACTGTTCCAAATGAAACTTGTGTGTGTATAAAACGGTATTATTTGAAATATTCCAAACTAAAAAAAAAAACAAAAACAAATGCGTATTTGTAGACATCTAAGAGTGACAAATTATATAACATCGAAATATAAAACACCGCAAAGGAAATATTTCAAATAAAAAATTACAGGATAAAATTAATGAAACCTCATGTCGCACAGTGTCACGACCGCGGCCAAAAATGGTCAAAACCAAGTACCACGGAGGACAAATTTTTTGATGAGGATTGATAGAAAATACTCCAATTAGAATAAATATGAAATTTTATATCGATATGTCGAGTAGTTTTGTCTCTACAAAGGTTCAAATCTGATAATTATTTATAAACTGATTTTTTACCATATTTTCGAAAAATGGTTGTGTTTTTCTGATGCTCAAATATTTGAATATTCGAATTAATGGTTATTATAAAAGGTTTTTTTTTTGTTGCTGTGGATGTAAAAACTAGGATTCGCATTAGTTTTTATGTATATAGATATCATATGGTGTATACAGTCGTCCACACTTGTAGTACTTAGTTCATCAAATTTGTAAAACAAATTTTGAAAGTAGTGGAGCAGAAAAAAAAGTTTAAAAAAGGTTAGCTCTAATTTTTTTTTATTTGAGTGGTGAAAAGTGTGTTATTTAAGGAATAAAAAAAATTAGCTGCGGAGTCCTGCGGTCCTAAGAGTTATTTAACTTTTTTGGTGACCACCTTATGAAAAAATATGGCATATTCACAAAATGGTTAGAAGCGAATGCTGTGTGCCAAAAACTTTTACTAGTCAACATAGGCGTTGATCTCTGTTCGATTCGTTGTGACTTATATATTTTTTGATAAAATATGTTCTGTACTACTCGAACAATCGATTTGATATAATAAATGCCAATATCAATTGATATTTTCTCACATACTGCAAAAATATTCCGGCCTTCTTCAATAAAGGCTATCGAAGTTGAGTCGTTAATTGTCAATTTCTTGAGTTATTATTTCAAGTATGTATTTATTTTGAGAATTATTTATTGTTTTCTACTAATTCTAGCAATTTCTGGTGCATTCGGACCTTTATTTTCTATAATAAAGGCGATTTTCTGAATGTTGGGTGTAATGTACAATTTTTTGGCAATTTTGATAGATTTAACAGATTTTTTCAAAAAAAAAATTTTTTGTAAATGACTTTATCGGTGCTTAATTTGCATAACTTACCTAAATTTAAGTGATTTTTTAAAAATATTTAAAAAAATGAAGTAAAGTAAAAAAATCACACAATGTTTTAATTATGTGGCCACTTCAAAGTCGATGTATTTTCATAAAAACCGTTTTTATGGAAAAATTGCATGCAAAGAGTTTCTTTTTTCACACTAAGTCTCTTAAGTGCATTATATCGAAGTGTTCTGAATGAAAAAAATTTCAAAAATACTTCAAACGAATCGAGGGCTGATCAAAAAATGTTTATCACAGTAAATGTTTTAATTCTGTGACCACCACTGTATATATCTGATGTGTGTTTTGAAAATGTTGTGAATTATAAAAAAGTAATTTATTAGTTATTAAAGGATATCAAATAGTTTTTATATTATAATAAAAATAACAAAAATAAAACTATTATACTTAACTATTATATAACGATTTTATAGTACAGAAAGTTAAATTTTTAGGGACTTTGCTAGTAGTACAGAATATATTTTATCATAAAATATATCCCTATGGTAGGTACCTAAAATATGGGCCAACAACTAAATTACAACACCTATTACTGCCTTCGCCCAAATTTGATGTAATTTGGACGAAGACTTGAAAATTTTCGTGGAATTTGGATGAATATAAATAATCACCCCTATTCCGTATGTCGTCGTCGTTGTCGACGACGTTTCTCTTTCGACATCACTTCGCATCGACATCGACATCACTTCGACACTGATTTGGTATTCTGTAACACTCATGCGACGATGTCGACTATTTATCGATAATATCAATAAAAACAAAAATATTGTTGCATATTTTTGGGCAAAAATGTGTTTGTATCCTTCACCGCACTGTGGCACAGGGCATTATGTCTTGGTAAATGTGTTTGCAACGACCAAAAAGAAACGAGATAGACCCATATTTACTTTTTAGTATATAGTATGTACATAGAATTATTTTTCAGTCGATTTATGCATGTCCCTCCATTCATGTATTATTTTAAACAAGTTACATGCCACCATTATGATCCGAACGGGATGAAATTTGGAAAAAATGTATCCAATTGGGATGTAATTTTATTTCCACATAGACGAGTCCTATTGACATTGGTCAAAATCGGTTTAGATTTATATATAGATCCCATATATGTTTCATTATTTACACTTTATTTTGCATTAAGTATTGAATAGATTCTAGAATGATATATCCTGTTCTTGTCCGGTCATGTTTTTTTTTTCTTAATTTCAAAAAAAAAATGTTCAAACGCTTCAGTCGTCAACAAAAACCATGACGAAGAAATCTTCGACATCGTCGTCGTCACACATTGTTACGGAATACCAAAAATGTTTCAATAGTTATCGATAAATGTCGACAACGACATAGGGAATACCAATTTGCAAAAGACGACTCTCTTCGACGTCGTTTCGTGTCGACGACGACATACAGAATAGGGGTGAATGTATAGGTCCAAAAAGCGGATTTTTCAAGACCCTTTGTATGGGAGGTATATCAAATCTTGGACCGATCTACCCCGTTTTTGGTCCGTTGCTTTATAGGCATAAGTAAATGTAAATTGCCAATTTTCATTGAATTTGGTTGAATATTAAAGATTTTATAGCCCAAAATAGTAAAATTTTCAAGACCCTTTTTATGGGAGGTATATCAAATCTTGGTCCGATCTACCCAGTTTTTGGTCAGTTGCTTTATAGGCCTAATTAAATGTAAATTGCCAATTTTCATTGAATTTGTTTGAATATTAAAGATTTTATAGGCCAAAAAGCGCGACATTCTCAATACCCATTATATGGGAGGTATACCAAATCTTGGTCCGACCTATCCAATTTTTTGTCAGTTGCTCTTTAGGCCAATAATAAGCACATGTACCAAATTTCATTAACTTACGATAACTGCTTCTATTTTTGGCCGCTGTTTATATGAACTCGCGACATAGTGTGTCGCAAGAAAGTTTGCAATGAAAACAAGATGTACAAGTTAATTTTTCTCTTTAGAGTCAAGTCAAAAGCAGAAGGTCACTTTCATTATTATTTCAGAAAGAGCTTTTTTACTACTGTTAAATAAAAATGCAAATTAACGTATAACGAATTTATTATCTTTCGTACATCTGTAGCTGCTCTCTTGACATTGTTAGCATAGTCTTAATGTTAGCTTAGTCTTAAAGCAGCATTCCTTTGGCCACTTCAGCTGCCTTTTCTGGACCAGCCAATACTTCGGCAATTTTAAGACCAAAGTCAAACGCAGTACCTGGGCCGCGACTTGTTATTAAGTTCCCATCTTGAACGACTGTCTGGTCATCAATATACCTGAAATTATGTTTGGAGCATTCGAAATATCAGCAATAAAAAATACAAACATACTACGTACTTGTATTGAGATTCCAATTGTGATTTGAAAGATGGATATGATGTCAATGATTTCCCCTTTCCAATATCAAAAGCAGCCAAAACTGTTGGGGCAGCACAAATAGCAGCAACAATCCTATTTTCCTTTTCTTGTTGTTTCAAGATTTCCCCAACCAACGAGGACCCAGCCAATGCCTTGGATCCACCCAAACCACCCGGTAGTATAACTACATCGAACTTATTGTCCTTGACACTTTCCAAAGATGTATCGGGAACGATTACAACGTCCCTGGAACACTTCACCGGTTCATTGCCTGCTAAACCGGCAACGGTAACTGCTACCTAAAATTATAAAAACAGAACAGATATAACCCCGAAATATAAGAACCGAAACAAAATATGATTTTTCTTTCTTTGTATGTTCCACTATGGGAGGATATTACGTATCTACGAATTTTCTGGCATATTATACCATGAATTTGCATACATAGTATAGAAAATAGTGACACACAGAACTTACCCCTGCTCTTCGGAGAGTGTCCGCAGCAATAACAAATTCCATTTCCTCCGCCCCATTAGCCAAAATAACCAAAGCTGTCTTGGACATAATAAAACGAATCTGTTGTTGTACAAAAAAGTTATTGGATTTTGTGACCAATGAGAGAGTAGTCAAAGCCTTTTGTAGCAGCGACGGAATTCGCACAAGTATACCGGTTTATTCGTTACTATTAATAAGGGCATCCAGGGAGACCAGCTGATATCAGTTGCTTCTCAAATTTGCTGTTAAAATCCATTATCGTGAATTGATTTTCATTATGAAAAAGTAAACAAAATCCATTTTTTTGACATTAGACTTGAGAAAAACAGCTGATTTACGCTTTCTGGGTGACCGTTGATAGATCTTGGTCTCATTGAACAGGTAACAGCTGATTATCAAATTGGCTGACAAAACACATAGTTGCCACTTTAATTCGGTGTGCAATGCTGACAATATTGAAAAAAGAAAAATCAAAGATATTCGTTGTCACATCAGGAATACTTGTGTGGTGAACTTTATATTTTGAGTAGCATATACCCGCTACTTCGTTAGCGAATGTGGGAAGTATTTAAAACCCAATACCAAACATTGTCCAAATTTAGATTAGGCGAGTTTACTTGCGGCAAGTCTTTGTTTGTAGGAGAGAGGGGCAAGGGGTATAGAAATGAAAAAAAATTGTTCGTACCGACAATTTTCTGGCAATTCGTTTTGTGTATTTCGTATTTGTTGACATTTTATATATATTTAAATGTGAAAAAACAACAAATAAAAAAATTTTTTGGAAAACGAATTGCCTTGTATAGACGCATGGAGCAAGTTCAAAAGAGAACGATAAAAATTGCCGCAAGTAAACTCGCCTAATATAAATCAGGACATTGTTAACACTTTTGGAACCATTTAGTACCTATGTTCTCTTATACTACTTTTTCCAAAACTACATCCATATCTCAACCCTACACACCAATTCTGACAAATTTCAAAATTCAAATATAGCTCCACCCAAATCCAAATTAAGTACCAGTTAGTAAACATTAATATAAATTGCCATAACTTCCAATGGAAATCATGCAATTCCAGCTCTATCGGTTAGATTTTAATCCAAACTGTACCAAATGTAGTGCCATTTAGTACACTTTAGTAGACATTTCCAACATAACCCAATCCTACACCTCAACTGTAATCCCAACTTCAAATTTCACGATTCTAGCTCTATCGGTTCACTCAAATCCACATTTGGTACTATTTTGTACACATTAGTACAAATTTCCAAAACTACATAGACCAATCCTACACCCCAACTGTAACCCTAACTACAAATATCAGGATTCCAGCTGTATTGGTTCACCCGAAATTGATCCTACAATCAAATTTCAAGATTCCAGCTCTATCGGTTCACCCAAATCCAAATTTGGTACCATTTAGTACACATTAGTACAAATTTCCAAAACTTTCTACATAGCTCAATCTTACATCCAATTGTATCAAATTTAGTAAAATTTTCCCTTACTACCTACGTCATGCAATAGAAATTTTATTAATCAAATTCAGGATTCCAGCTCTATCGGTTAACTTTTTATCCAAAATGTACCAAATTTAGTGTCAACACCCCAACAGTGATCCTAACTTCACATGTCAAGATTCCAGCTCTATCGGTTTACCTAAATCCAAATTTGGTACCAGTTTGTACACATTAGTACGAATTTCCAAAACTTTATACACAACTGAATCCTATATCCCAACAGTGATCCTAACTTCAAATTTCAAAATTCCAGCTCTATCGGTTCACTCAAATCCTTATTTGGTTCCATTTTGTACATATTGGTACAAATTTCCAAAACTTTCTACATATCCCAATCCTATACCGTAACAGTAACCCTTTCTGCAAATTTCAAGATTCCAGCTGTATTGGTTCACCCAAAATTTAAATTGTACAAAATTTAGTACACATTAGAACTTCCTTCAAAGCCCAATCCTACACTCCAACAGTGATCCTAACACCAAATTTTAAGATTCCAGCTCTATCGGTTCGCACAAATCCAAATTTGGGTGAACCACCCCAACAGTGATCCTGACTCCAAATTGCATTGTTACAGCTCTATCGGTTCACCTAAATCCAAATTGTGCCAATTATAGTACGATTTAGTACTTTTCGTACACATATGTAAAAAAATTCCAAAATTAGGTATATATCCCAAACCTACAATTCGACGGCAATGTTAATTTAAATTTCCAGGATTCCAACTCGATTTGTACCTCCAAATTAAATTTGTACCGATATAGTACCATATAGTACTTTTCGTATACATAAGTACACGCTTCCAAAGCCAGCTCTTTATATCGACCTTGCTTCTCAACCTTAATTTGCATTCCAAATTTCAAGTTTTTAGCTCTATCCACTCACATGCTACGAAATTGTACTACATTTAGTAAATTTAAGTACGTTTCGCATACTTATAGTTCGAATGTCAAAAAAACCCTTTGCTATATCTATTCTACACTCCATCCGTGACTCTCATTTAAAATTAAAGAGTTCTAGCTCTACCGGTTCTCCAAATCCAAATAGTATCACATTTAGTACTTTTCGTACCGTTCTAGTACGAGTTTCCTAAAACACAGCCTTATCTGTTACCTTTGGACCAGCCTTATCTGTCACCTTTGCACCCTCACCCAAAATTTCAAGATTCTATCTTCAGCCGTTTCGTCTGGACTTTGATGAATCGTTAATCAGAATCAAATCAGTCAGTCAATCGCTTTACTCTTTTATCAGTATAAATTATTTAATGCTTATATATATTTTTAATTTGTTTTTTTATTTTTCATTCCAGATTTTTATGAATTATATATGCCAATCGAAAGACAATCGAAAACGATAATATGAAAATACGACAGGCCCGCCGATAACGATCAATATATATTTTGGAATTATCCTCATCTCTCAATCATAAAATTCCACAAGGAAGGATTACAATAGAATATAGTCCAAATAAGCTTAGCTAGGGCTAAGTTGTTAAGAAATTTATTTCTTAACATTTATATTTAATATATTATTTGTTAAATGTATGTACCTAATTTTTACAAAGAATATTGAATAAAAGATAAAGAATAATGAATTTACTAAAAATACTATTTGTTTTTATTTATGGAAACAACAAATATGGTAAGTATAATGCCCCTATGCATGCGACATAATTTGTGTGATGACGTCACAATTTTTCATTCACCTGGTTCTATGCATTTTTGCACAAATTTCACAAAAATACCAGGCGCCCAGAAGAAAACAGAAAGTAGCCCGCCAATAAAAAATGTAAAAATTGCATCAGGCAATGCCGTACAAAGAAATTACAAAATTTGTAGCATACTTTTAGGCGCTCGAATTTTTTCGCGGGATGGGTATTGCCCGACCAAAATTTTTAGGAATTTTTTATTTTTTGGCGGGCGTTTGGTATTTTTGTGAAATTTGCGCAAAATTGCACAAAATTTTTGGGATTTTTTTTTAATTCATTGGGAGCCATTATTGTTATTGTTACTAAGAATTGTTACTAAGAAACTAATATTGTGAACCCCCACTAAGAGATTTTTAAGGTCCATAAATAGAAACACAATGTTAGTATTTTTTAATCTGTTTATTTGTTTAATTTCAATAAACGAAGAAGGTACATAAATAAATAACTCAACTAAATACACTATTTACTTAATAGTACTAATGCATACAATGGTAGTGCAGAGGAACAAATTAATGAACGATGTCAGGCTCAGCTGGATATTTTCTTTCAGAAATTGCTCAATCCTACCAGGCATCCAGAACAGGTAGATAGAAAATTTAACTAATTGGCAAACTGCAGACTTTTAGCTCCGTAACATGTACCAGGTTTGATATTCGGAACAATATTTTTGGGCTCATATCAGGAAATAGATTTCAAAAAATTCAACATAACTGATTTGGTAGTCCTTAAAGAAAGATGGCTGCTATAAAAAATACAATAAGACTGCTTATTTAATATTTAAAGAAATTTTAAAAAACGGCGATGCTTCCCATTTTCATCGATAATCTTACCTCGGGTCAAGGTTTATTGAAATAGCCGCATGAAACAAAAATATTAAAAAATCCACAATTGTATATTAATTTTTTTTTGAAGCTTTCAATAGACTGATTTTGTTAAAAATATTTTTTTCGGAAATAACATTTAGACTTTAGATAAAGAATTTTTTTTCGAGTAACACATAAAGTCGTGGGTTTTTAAACATGTTTGTTTTGGGGACAAGATATGGACGTGGATTCATTAAAAATACCAGGGACCACAAATGTAAGTTGGTCTAAGGACTGTCTTTCCTGACCGGTAAGGTATCATAATGAAGTATAAAATGGTCATTGGTTGGAAAACGGCAAATTTAAGATTAAGATTAAGGAATAGCCGCTTAAGTGGGTCGATTACACAGCCATAACACTGAAGAAACGGTCTGTGAACCATTTTAAAAGAACACACATTTAAAAAAAAAAATCAATGAATTGAAAGGGTTGTTTGTTTGTATGACTATTCATAGTTAAATTATAGCCCGAACTGAAGATGTTTGGCAGTGAAACAATACATGAAATATATGTAGACTATATAGGAGTGTGTAAAAAACTTCAGAATTTCCTCTAACCATATCTGGAAACTTTATAAAAATCGGTTTAGTAGTTGCCGAGATATTTGTATTTCAATTCAACGATGGTCCGAAATACACCTCCTGCTCGATTCTGGTCGCCAAATTTTGTTAATTACTGAAACGATTTCATTGCTGATATGAACAACATGACATTTTGTGGTCGGAGAAAGACCCTTGTCCTTTAATTAAATTTGAAATTTTAGTGGAAAGCAAGGCATTTCTGGCAATCGTTAAATTTCTTTGCATAACTGTTGTTTATGCATTTAAAAGCACATTAATATGGGTCGCGATAAAGTATAGGGGAGAGGGGGGCACCTTTGAACAGCGCTCATAAAATCTTGGTTTAATATTTTTCCGACCCGAAAAATTGTGCATGGGTGACCATGTTTTCTCAGTGTCATTGTAAACTTTTATTCATTTGGTTGTAAGGGCGCAGGAAGAATTCTGTGATAGTTTTCTTTCGTCA